GGATGAAAGCATTAAACACTGAGGTACCCCACATGAGTAGATGTGATCTTCTCCCTCTTGTCAACATGGACTGGGGCTGACCATTGAGGAAGGAGATGAATCACTGGAACTACTACAAACAAAATATATTTATTAATTAATCAAATTTATATCACTTCCCATCTCTGAGACTATGGGTGACTTGTACAGTGTGTGTGCATACACATTTAAAATTAGGAAAAATCAGCATTAGTAATAGAGATATTTAAAACTAAAAATATATACAAGCCTTGAAGGGAAGGGAGGGACGGAGAGTGAGAAATAGTAAAATGTATCATTTTCAGTCAAGAGAAGAGCCATCATATTTAAACTTTCCCCCATGGATTGCTTATTATTGGACACGGAAATAAGGATTTATGAGGCAAAACTTAAAATATCAGTAAAAATAAATGTTGGACGTCAAAACAACATACAGAAATGAATTAAAATTAATTTATTGTAAAAATAATTTTATTGTATTGTAAATCAAATGATTTGTTGTTACAAATACTGTAAGGGGAAACGATAGGAGAGAATTCATCTGCAAGTGAAAGATGATGAAATATATAAAGACTTAATGAAGGTAGAGATCAAATTCCTTTTCCAGACTCACTGAGATCTTTTTTAATCAAATCTCATCTACAAAACAAAATTGTAACCTAATCCCCATTCTAGGTTTTATTTATACACCAAAGGGAGATTGTGTAAGATTTTTGATAGAGCCGTTTCTTTTTTCTCACAATAGTAATAGTGGTTACCAAGAAGTTTTCTCATTGTTTCATGATTGCTATGACAGAGGATTTTTTCCCTTAGAGACTTTGACCCAATTCACTGTAGTTGGACTTTTATCTGCTTCCATGCGGACTTCTTGATACAGATTTTTTTTAAAGAAGAATTTGGATAACCATTTTTGTGAAATAGTACAGGACTTCCTGCTTGAGCAGGGGGCTGGTTTACCTCAAAGATTTCTTCCAACTCCGTTATTCTATTCTGTTCTGTTCAGATAATGATTCAGCTCATTTTCCCCAACACTTACTCTGTCTCTACCTTTTATGTTTTCATTGTCCAACGATACAGGTGTTAAAGTATACAAAATTTGTTAACCTTGTCACTAATTATCTTGGATAATTAGGAGGGAAGTCAGGTGTCATCTTTATTTGTAGTAGCTTGAAACAATCACTTGTGAAAGGGATCAGCAATAGGTTCAACAACTTTCTGTGGATTTGTTGTGCATTTAAAGATGAGTGGATAGCACTCCAACTCAGCAATGGCAAAAGGCCCAAGAGAAAAAAATAATTTCTGGTACGAAGTTGGAAAAGCATTAAATTTTGTGTTCAGATGCTCCCCACACAATATAATTAAATAACTTATTAATTTAAATTTATTTCAGCTGGAAAACATTTGGCAAACAAAGATGAGATCAAAGGAATTTGTTGGGCTTCATGGACCTGTGTGATAGGATCAGAAGTAAATGGAATCTGGCCAAAGTACAGTGATGTTACAGATATTAACTCTGTAGATGGAAATTATAATAATACAGTTTTAGTGACTGGAGATGATTTTGGACTAGTAAAATTATTCAGATTTCCATGTCTTAAAAAAGGTAAGACATTATGCCATGCATATATAATGTCTTACTTTATTTGCATTACAGATTATTTGATGTTTTTTTCAGTGGCTGAATGGTATTCCTTTAATTTATTTAAATTATTTATGAAAATAATGAAGATGAGATAAATAAAAATGCTCAATCTCTAATATTACAAGTGCTGGCAGAAAATTACCAGACAAATGGACCTATCTTTCTTTTTCATTTTAAAAATGTTAGTAAATATTTACAAGCACATTCTAGAAAAATAAAAAAGAGGTGAACTGGAAAAAATGCAAGCTATATAAAACTAAGCAAAAAAATGAGGTAACTAAATTAATGCTATATAAGAAATTGAATAGTCAATAATAAAAGAAGCAAGTGTAATAAGTATCAAAAGTCAAAATAAATAATTTGGACAGATCTTTTAATCTTTTAAATGACAAAGATGTTGACTGGTTTTTACTGGTTATATAATTCTATTAAAGGGATAATACTGAGAGGCTTTTTTGGGAAACAACCATATTTTTGCCTTTTTAGGCATTGTGTTAATTCACCACATGCCTTAGTGAATCTATTGCAGTAAAAAAAAGAAGTTGCAGCCAAGGAAAAGGCCATTTTCAGTAGTTGCATTATGGTTTTGGAGCATCTTTCTCCAATTGCCTTACTTTTTTTTCTAACAAAGTGTAGTCAAGGAAATGAAGATTGTCTTTTCATTTTTCTGATATTGCTGTATTCCCAGTTGTATAGTTAGTTTTATCTGATAGAGATAAAGAAAAACAGCCAATGAAAAACAGTTACAAATTGTTCAGTGCAGATTAAAAAAAATAGTGTTCCCTAAAAGTTCCTGAATTTTGAGCAGCAATATTCTGTGTTAGCTTTGTGTCCAGTTGGAACCTTAACCTAATCATAATTTTTACCTAAGATAATATAATAATTAAGAAAGGCAAATTCATTAATGGAGAAACCTAAGAGTTTAACCGATACATTCTGCTTCAGTAGAAAAAACTGCTATGGGCACGAGACATTTCTTTTTATTATTTTTTATTTAATGTGAGTGCGCCCACATTTGCGAACCGGTAGGGAAGGTAAGTGAATCCAACCTCTGCCTCATGTAGCAACCATTTGAATTTGCCTTTCTTAATTATTATATTATCTTAGGTAAAAATTATGATTAGGTTAAGGTTCCAACTGGACACAAAGCTAACACAGAATATTGCTGCTCAAAATTCTGGAACTTTTAGGGAACACTATTTTTTTTAATCTGCACTGAACAATTTGTAACTGTTTTTCATTGGCTG